GGCTGCAGATATTTTTCGAAGATCGATCTGAAGTCCGGGTATCATCAGATAGAGGTCCATCCTGATGACCAGTACAAGACTGCGTTCCAGACTAGATATGGGCACTATGAGTTCATAGTGATGCTCTTTGGACTAACCAATGCGCCTGTCACGTTCCAGCGCTGTATGAACGATTTGTTTAGGCCATGGTTAGGCAAATTTGTTGTAGTTGATCTAGATGATATATTAGTATTCAGTAGGACCCTCCAAGAGCATCAGGGTCATTTGAGGCAGGTCTTGGAAAAGCTGAGAGAGGCTAACTTCAAGATCAATGCACAGAAGTGTGAGCAGGCCAAGACACAAGTCTTGTCCTTGGGCCACGTCTTAGACGGAGATGGCATTAAGCCGGAGGACAGCAAGATAGCGGCGATCAGAGATTGGCTGACGCCCCGCACGTTGACTGAGTTGCGGTCGTTCCTAGGCCTAGCTAACTACTATAGGAAGTTCGTGAGAAACTTCTCGACTATAGCCGCGAGGCAATCTGGCAGTGGGATAAAGACTGTACGTCTGCGCTCAAGAAGTTAAAGCGCGCGTTAATAGAGTATCCCGTCCTCAAAGTAGCAGATCTGTCTTTGCCATTTGTCGTCACCACGGACGCAAGTCAGTATGGAATAGGCGTCGTGTTACGGCAGGACGACGACAATGGCTACAGACCCGTAGAGTTTATGTCGGCGAGGATGCCCTCGACTTACGAGAGAGAACTCTACGCTCTCAGGCAGGCCTTAGAACACTGGAAGCATTACCTGCTTGGGAGGCACTTCAAAGTGTATTCAGACCACAAGACTCTTAGGTGGCTGAAGGCACAGGCCAAAATGACACCTAAGTTGACTAGGTGGGCCGCTGAGATAAACCAGTATGACTTCGAGCTCAAACCGGTCAAGGGCAAGTACAATGTAGTTGCGGATGCTCTAAGTAGGAGATCAGACCACTTTGGAGCTATAGTCCACTATCTGGATATAGGGACAGACCGACAAGAGAAAGTAAGACAGGCGTATGCGCATGACCCTATTTATAGCGACCTCCTCAAGGGAGTTAAGGAGGCCCCAAAGACTGAACCAAATTACCGCACTACAGAGGGGTTGTTATTTGAGAAGACTAATCTAGTAGACCGTTTGTGCGTTCCCAACAGTGAGGAAATCCGTAGTCTGATCCTAGGGGAATGCCATGATACAGAGGGACACTTCGGTTGGCAAAAGACTTTAGCCAATCTGATGCGTGTATATACTTGGCCAGGAATGAAGAACGACTGCATAGAGTACGTCCGCAATTGCAAAGTATGCCAGAGAAACAAGACTACTACGCGTGTCCCTCTAGGTCTTCTCAGACCCTTGCCTATTCCTGACCAGCCAGACTGTGTCAATTGACTTTATACCCAAGTCAAGAGTAGGCACGACAAGAGCCAAGTCATGGTGATAGTTGATAGGTTTAGTTAATACGCATTTTTTGTTCCGTTGTCTCCAGAGGCACGCACTGATTTAGTAATTCAGAATTTTTTTTACCATTGGGTTAGTGATCACGGGATTCCGCTATCCATAGTTAGCGATAAAGATACCCGGTTCACTAGTCAGAACTGGCAGGAACTGATGAAAGTTTATGGGTCAAAGTTGCTGATGTCATCTGCCCGTCATCCAGAGACTAACGGTCAGACTGAACAAATGAACAAGATCCTGCAACAAGTTTTGCACATGTACATTAGACCAGATCAAGTCAATTGGGACGAGATGTTGCCCAAGGTCGCCAGTGTGTATAACAACAATGTGCACTTGTCCACCTGCCGCACTCCCAACGAGTTACACAAGTCCTTTACACCGCGTAGACCGTTTGAGGGACTTAACCGGGACCAGATTCAAAGGCTACCGCCAGGTACCAGGGAGTTTGTGATACAGCACGAGAAAGAGCTAGCTACAGTCGTCGAGAACCTCAGGAAGGCCCAGCATAGAATGGTACAGCAAGCCAATAAGCACCATTACCCATCGCAGTTCCAAGTAGGGGACTTAGTCTGGGTCAAGTCCAAAGAGTTTGCTCCTGAGGAGAACATCTCGCAAAAGTTACTGCCAGCATACAGGGGACCATGGCCAGTTCTAGAAGTCAAGGGCAGAGAGGATGGGCCGTCCTACACCGTAGAGATCCCAGCACACCTCCACACCTACCCCGTATTTCATGCGTCAAAACTGTTGCCGTGTGTCACAAGCCAACAGTTTCCCTCAAGAAGATCCATGATCCCTCCGGATATGGATGGGAGATGTGACATTGAGGGCATTGTAGGTGAGGATGTATTCAGAACAGGAGGTAGAGGTCGTCCACAGAAATAGTACAAGGTCTGATTCGCATATCAGGAACCGGAAGACGACCGCTGGTTTACAAGAACTGAACTTCTAGAAACAGCTCCCGACGTGGTTAGGGCCTATGAGAGAGAGAAGAAAGGCAAAGGTCCGGCCTTGAACTGAGATATTCTCGGAGGACCTCGAATTTAGGCCGGCGGGAGTGAAACGGATTCCACCTTTGCAGTAGCCGATGCAGACCCCAGGGCTCAATCCCTAGTCCTTACCCTACCTGTGTGCAGTATCTGTGTCGACCCCAGGAGTTGAACCCACGACCTGTGTCTTTCCCCACAGTTGGTAGGCTGTCGTAGGTCTGTAGGTTATAGGGGTTCGATCTGTAGACCTGTCGGATAGGAGTCTTAGTGAGTTCTAGAAGTCGTAGCTGTAGCTCCTCCGAAGGGTCAAGGTCGTAGCTGCTACAGTACCAAAAGGCCAAGTCCACGGTCTTCCGGAAGGTCCGGATATGGCCTTTCGGGTATTGCCCACAGTAGACTGAGGCAAGTGGGCAAGTGGCGAAGTCCACCGGTGCTGAGTCAGCGGTACCCAGTCCCAGGCAGTCTCAGTCCAGTCAAGCAAGTACCGTGTGGGGCTGTGTGCACCAGGGGCATGGGAAAGGGGCAGACCAACGAGCCACAGAAGTATAAATCAAGAGGCAGCGCCCAGCCATTCATTCATTCCTACGTAAGCCATGCGGAAGCGCTGCCACAGCGACTTGTGCGAGGTGGTCTGCAGTATGCCCGAAGACGAAGTGGGCGAGAAGGAGAGCTTAGCCATAGCGATAGGGGTAGTAGCGGCCATAGCCGCCATAGCTGATAGAGCAGTGTAGCGTGTGCGTGTGCGTGTGTGTACAGGTGACGCGTGTGGGATATCCAGGGTGATCCTAAGTTGAGGGTGTGTGAACAGCAGAGTGGGGCGCAGTGACGAACAGGGAGTTGTACAGGCGCTGATGCGCCATAGCCATCTGAAGCGAACTTGTATCTCAACTGTGTTCTTGGTTTCCATAGCTCTGAGTTTTGAGTGGGCGCTTGTCGCCAGTTTGCTGCGGTACCTGTTTACATGCATGTGGAGTGCGAAAGAAAGCGAGTCTGATTGCATAAGATGCTCCTTAAAAAAAAAAAGGAGTGTTGGAAAAAGAAAACAAGAAAAAGAAAAAGATTGGCTACAGTCCAAGATCCTAAGAAAATTAAGATTTTTTCCCGGATTAGCAAGCTGTTATAGGAACAAGTGACCCCGCCGCAAGACCCTAAGAAAATTAAGATTTTTTTCCGGGATTAGCAAGCTATTATAGCAAGAAGTTTGTAAGGATCTTCTCTATTGTACCTGCTCCTCTCAGGGAACTTTTTGAAATTGGCAGTGTAGTTGTGGGACAGATTGTGAGTCTGCATTCTGCATTCAAGACGTTAAAGTATGGGCTAACTTCGCTAAGTCACTCGCCTTTTTTGAAAATAGCAGACCTATTCCTATTGTTTGCTTTCAGAACTGATGCAAGTCGGTACACCATCCTGCATGGTCTTGACGGTTTTGAACTTCTCAAATTTGGGTTCATTACATTTCAGTGATTTCACTTCTTATCAGTTTTTTCAACTTTTTCGATGTTTTCCCATGTTGCTTTTGCGCTCGCCATTCCTTGCATAGTTGCAGGCTCCAGCCTTTTTTTTTTCTTTTTTTTTTAACAAATACAGTATGTCTTCTCCTCATATGGGGGACAGCTGTATTTAGTTACCCTATTTTCTACTCTCAATGTCTTACCTTCCGTACTCTACCTACTTTTGCCTACCTGCTCATCTCAGTGTGCGACCTGTACACCCAAGGCAACCCAGCACCTCAATCCGAGACCAACAGGCACCTGCCACCCCAAGCGCATAGCAGGCCAAGGGACTACGAGACCACCAGGCACCAGACACCCCAAGCGCAGATAGCAGGCCAAGAGACTAGGGAAAGAAGCCAACAACAACCTACTCTATGCCTAATAATTGGAGACAAGAACCGCTTTTAAATACCCTCACCTAAGCTAAGCTATCCTACGGTTATGGGTCTATGTCTACCACCCTCTGCTCAGTGCGGGGAGCAGTACCCCAGGCTGCTAACAACTGGCGTAGGCCGGAACAACGTTCCCAAACCAGCCAGGAGGCCCAAAGCCGACAATCTCCAGTGGTGAAAACCGGAAGTATACCTCCAGGAGGCCGTGGGAATTGAAAGGACGACCTCGGGAATCGAACCCACGACCTCCTGCTCAGCCAACTGAGCTAGCCTGCTTGTACCGCCTGTGTTTTTTTTTTTGGCTTCTGGTCGGGTGCTTTGCTGTTGCGTTGGGCTACCTGATGATGCCTCCTGTCACCAGTTCACTCCTACCGTCTTCACCCGAATAGAATGCCCAGTCATTATAGCTGTATTTGGCACAACTTTCGGTCCAGATGCAGCGATAATGACCGGGCGTTCTATTCGGGTGAAGACGGTAGTGACTTTGTGTTGATGTGTCTTGTCCCCAGTCAATCAGTCCATCACCAACCCTGCCTAAGAGTCTCTAGGTAGCATTATTCTGGTCCTGGGTCAGTTGGTAGGGCCACACATCAAGCCCGGTCATTTCTTGAATGTGCGCTCTTTCTTTCATTTTGTGTTGACATGGCTGTCTTACCTCAGGAATTGCTGACATTGTGGGAAGACGGCTAGGTAGCGCAAAGCTTCCATACAACGACTCGAAAAGCTGGGCTGGAAGCATTGCCATGTTCACTTGCGGCCTTTCTGCAGCACTCAGGCAAGAGACACAACAGCCTCTTCTTCCTCCTCCTCCTCTTCCTCCTCTTCCCTCCTCTTTCCTCCTTGTGGCATACTGCGTAGCCACACGGGCCTACAGGGCCCGTCCCGGACATTCAGCCTAAAAGCNCGTAGCCACACGGGCCTACAGGGCCCGTCCCGGACATTCAGCCTAAAAGCCTAAAACTTAGGGCTTACAGGCCCCGTTCATTTCAGCCTGGATGCTGAAAAACRAGGGCCTGCAGGCCCTACCTCGTTTCAGCCTATTTCTGGGTCTTTTCAGACCCAGAGTTTTCAGCCTGAAACGGAGGGCCATTTTCAGGCCCTCATTGTTTCGACCTGCCCCTAAGACTCAGGCACGGAAACAGGGATGCGGAACAGGCCCAAAATAGCCTGTTCCTCACGTGCTCGAGCAGGAGCTGCAGCTGCAGCCCCTGCCTTCCTTCGGCAGGCTCAAGAGGCACACCAATAGTACATAGGAGGATCCCATGCACTTCCCGGGTAAGGTCGTGTCAGTAGGTAGAGGTAGTCTTCAGGATTCGGCCGCAGCACTCAGGAGGAGCGCTGCAGTAGTCTTCAGCGCTAGGCAGTAGTGGTAGCGCTAGCTGTAGTCTTCGGCGCTGGGCGCCATAGCTGTAGCTTAGTCTTCAGCGCTGGGCGCTGGTAGGTAGTAGATCGTAGAGTGGGAGAGAGACTGGCGGAGGCCAGTGTTACTTACCTGTGGCGCCATCGCTCC